ATGCGTACAATGAATACCAGCTTTACAACTTTATATAACCGCCATCCGCATGATTTCTCATCTCTTCATTCTTGTAAATTAGACTGAGAAAATGGTGGCAATTGCTAAGCAACGTTTAGTGTACTACACACTCCAGGGAATTGTTAGCTGGCAACATTTCCTTTATTCACTAATAAACATATTTTGTTCACTGGTAGCCAAATGAGTATCACTAAGGCAGAAGAGACTCTTTCAAAGGTATTTGCATATTATCATCTCAAAGGGGTAAATCTCTTGTGCAAAATTGTCAGGCAATATAACAAAACATAGTGAAGCATTTTACAGGGCATGAAAAAGATGTTTCTGGCCATTTAAAGTATCTCATATGCAAATCTTTCTACCCCAAGAGGAGATCCATATTTGTCTCCACAGAAATGAACTGGGAAATAAATCTCCATTAGTTCTGTGAAAACTTACACTTCTTTTATTTAGCATTTTCTGCTAACATAGGAGCTTCAAGGAATATTTATTTATAAACTAATATCCTTTACAATATTTGTGAGGCTTGGAAAGAAACGTAATATGTTTATTGTTCTTGTGCTCTATAAGATATTTTAATGAATGCTTCAACTCCTACAGTCACATAATCAAACAGATTGCACGTACACTTTGCCAATACAATGTTTATTAAAAATCCAAAACACTTATTCTTTTCAAATGAAGGAAATATCACCTCATTTTTATTTCTCCTTCCAAATACATTGTGGAAAATAGAAATAAAATTTTAGATCTAATCAGTCTAATGTAGGAAGAATTGCATTGCATTAAATATGTCTTTGAAACTAAAGTTTTTTACTAAAATGGCAGCCCCTAAATTATGGAACATTTTAAAATAAGCAAAAAATTAAACTAAGACTCAAAACTGGATGGGATTCATTTAATTTATAGACCATACTAGCTAGTAGTTGATGATACCATAACCCCTCCTAGCTGTAGATAAAAAGTATTCATAGTTGTCCTTAAATGGATGAAAAAGTGTCCCACATTTATGTAATTTTTGAATTGTATTGTTTCTTTGTTCATAGCACTTTTATCAAAGTGCATTGTACATTGAACAAATATTGATTATGTTTATATTATAAATTTATAATATTATAATTGGTTAGTTCTGTTCAAATATCTGAGAACTTTAGGATCAGGGAAATATTCAGGAAAAAACTTAAAAGATATTCTGAAAAACTGGAGGGGTGATCCTACAAATTGAATGTGTGGTAGCAATGGGAGAAGATGATTGGAAGAGAATGAAACAATAGGAAATCTAAGGTAAGGGAGGTAATAGGACTATTATGTATAGTCCTGGTCTATCCACACATGGGGAATGCTAGAACATTTGCAAACTGGAGCATTACTTGATATTGAACAGGACAGCGAAGGTCTGGTCTTCTGAGTATTTATTGCTGATACAGGCATAGGCATGATGACATTCGTGTGGAATGATTAAGCTAACATGGATTCACAGTGAATAAGCCTTGCTTTATAAATAAAAGTAACTTGTTCTTTTATGAATCTATGCTAGCTTCTTATTGTTACTTCTTTCTCTTGATGTCCTAACAGCTTTGATATAAAGTTTTATGAAGTTCATTTTCAGAAATTTGTAAAAGCTTTGTCTTTCACCCAAATTTGACAGACCCCCCCCATAATGTCCACTTTGTTCAGAGATTAAACATAATGGTTTTCTAAAATTCCTTATTCTTCCATTGATATATTATCTAATTAAGAGAAGTTGAAAGTTTAAAATCCTCTAAAGCAAGTAAATGATTTCCAGTTATCTCACGATTTGCCTTAAGCTACAATTTTCCTCATTAGGAAACTTATTCCCCTTTTTCAACTTTGGAAATTACCTTCCTGCTAGATAAAATGAGTGAAAATTGTCTCAAAATTCACCACCTTTCCACATGACAATCTTCTTGTTCTTTTTGACATTTAAAAAAAGTTTTTAAAATTTTCAGTTTACTAGTGTCTGTTGGTTTTACACTTAATGTAACAATTTTCCTTCATATTGATTGATAATTAAGTGTCCTGTTTCTTCCTACACTACAGTTCCCTTTATTCTTTCAACATCTGTGAGAAATGCAAACATAAGCCATGCTCTCATTGAAGTGATAGGAAGAGATGTGAAGAAAAGGGTCAGGTTGTATATCATAAGAGTTTGGTAGATAAAATAATTCTAGCAGATAATATATAAGCAGAAAAATATCTTTCTGTAAGAGCTTTATTTAAGCTAGGCTTTAAACAAACACTATCCAAGCAAATGGTTGGTCCTCAATGAGTATATAAATTCATGAATTTATATGTATTATTTGGAAAATGCATGCATGCATATGCAATACATATTACACATATACATGCATATAATACAAAATATTTTTGGAAAGGACAGATGTCAAGATATGATTACTAGTTAATTATATTCTGAAAGATAGCTATAACACTCAGAATTGGTAAAAAGAAACTGTACCACACAGAATAATCTCTGGAAAGTTTTACAAAATAAAATTCATATATAAAAATAATATTCTCATTATCTCCAAATGTTCATCAGCATTTGTGCCTCTCAGTAATCTGGCTAAGAAAACATGATGAACTTTTCTTTCAATTTCTTGAAATATGGTTTTCTGAAGAATAAGAAACACATCTGACTGTTCCTTACTATTTCAAAATCTAATATGATCATTTTCTTCCCACAATTTGCCTTTGGCTTATGTTTTTTCACTATTGAAAAAAAAGTTAAGCCAGTGATAGTATTATTTCTTTGTTCCTTCCTTTGAATTTCAATGAATGTAATTTAAAAAATATAATAAAATGATTAAAAACGTGTAAGCAGGATCAGAATACAGGGAGTAGATATATCAGAATATACATGATATTTAAATTTTATTTTTAGACTTGGGATGGGAATTGATGACAATATAAAGGCATATATTGAGACCTACAGAGAAAAAGATGATAAATTACAATGTACATTTGGAAAGCAGAGGGAATAATAACATAGAAAACCAGAAACTGAGAAACACAAAAGTAAGAGCTAAGTAATTGCATTGGATAGAGTTTTCTGTAAGGATGAGTATAAGAAAAATTGCAAAATGCTTTTAAAAGATTTAGAATTCACAAAGTAAAAAGTGACAGAAATTGGACTACTCAGTTAAAATTTAAAAGGAGGGGGACAGATAAAAGGAAGGTGGCATAAAATCAAAGCACCTGAATTTTTGCAGTGTTAAAAAAAACAACAACCTAGTAAGAAATGCCTTAGAGTAAAAAAAATTTTTTAAAAGTATGAGAATGTCTTTTTGAGTTTAGCAGAATGTGAACTGATGATGGAAGACTGACAAGCACTGAATAAATAGAGAGAAAAAGAATTTAAAAAATAGATATCGATATTCAAGCAGTATGACTGACTTGGACTAGATAAGAAGGAATACATTTCTAGGTTCAAAGAATATTATCCAGTTGTATTTTATGCATATGTTGAATATGATAACAAATGCATCAAGAACTCTTATTAAAATACTCATAATTACATAAAATATTAGAATATATTTATAGTTATACAACAAAAATGTTTCCTTTTCACGAGCTATAAAATTCAGTTAAGATGGAGTAGTAATTTAAAGAATTTACTCCTCCAGATACCCTTTTCCATTCTGTATATACTGTGTGAGCCATGAATTTCATGCAAGGAAGTATTTTACAAGTACCAAAGTTACATTATTCAGAACTTTCTAGCAAACAAAATGATCTAATAATCTCATGGACTTAGGTAGTCAAGTTTTGCCTCTTCTACCCTTTTTCTCCATGTTTGCAGATCTTTTGCAGAGACAGAAGAATAATTGACAGTGCTGTTTGACAGTGCTGAATTATCCGTAAGTTGGTCTGTACATTTTCTTTCCTAATACTAAGTTGGTTCTATGTAATACAGAAGCACAATCAATGAACATTAATTCTCAACTGAAATGAAACATGCAAATTTAATTAACATAAACTTAAAAGTTACCACTACCAGAGTATTTGAGGATTTCAGGTAGAGGTAATTTGGCAAGATACCCGATAAAATGTATAGTTGCCATTCATATGTTTTTAAGGAGTCTATGCCCCTAAACCTTCCCCTCACTAATATCATGAGGCCAGATTTCTCACTATTAGATCTTCCCATTGGAATACAGTCTCCTTTCACTGGTTTTTCCTCTCTTTTCTGCCCAGTAAAGCATGTTATAAGCCACAGTTCAGTGTTTTCCTCTTCCTGCATTTTCCACTCTGTTGGGTAAAGCCAATGAGTCAAGGCTTTGAACCATCCCCTCATATATATCTACAACCCAAACTCCAGAACTTGGACTTGTATTTCTAGTTACTGGACTTAAGCTGGACACACCCACAGTCACCAGGCTGAGCCAAGAACACTGGAAAATACCGAATAAGCATGGCAAATCCTCCTGCAACACCATTCAACACTCAAAACTGTTAAAAGCAAACTCAACACACAGAGCAGTTTCTGGAGTTTACAAAATCATTAAAATTAGTATGATAAGAAGCCTTAAGGGTATAAATTGCACCTTAGATTTTCTTCTAGTAGAGGGTTACTTTTATACGTCTAGCACAGTCCTTGGCAAAGGGCATCCTGGTAGAAAAGCTAAATTCTAGTAGCTCCTCCTGACTTCTGTGCCTGTAGGCAGACCGAGTCCTGTAGCTCTGGGCAGTCTTCCAAGGAGAGTCTCAGGGGCAGGTAGGAGAAGCAAAGAACACAGAAGCTAGGGGGGAAGACTCTGAGATCCAGTCAAAGGAATTCTAGGGAATCAGGTGAAGCTTGACCATGTCAGCTACTGGCATCTACCCCCACAAAATCTTCTAAGAATTGAATGTACTCATGCATTTCTTTCCTTGGCTTTTAGGATTTCAAAACTATTTTTCCTCTTGGTATAGTGTTCAATAACCAGTGTTATATTCTTCACACATAGTGCTGAGTGATGAACTATGTCATTCTTGATATAAGCATCAAATCCAAATGTGGAAGGAAGACAAATGAGAAATAAATTAAATGTGAGGGATACCAGAATAAAAGATAACCTAATTAGCCTGAGACTAGCATTTGTGAAATCAAAACAACGTTGTGATTTCAGTCATAGTTTTCATAGATCCTCAGACCTGAGATGCACAATTATTTGTTTTCATACTTGAGAAGGTAGCTGAAGCAAACTAACCAAAAAAACCATTAATATATTTATTTATTTTTAGGCAGCACTGAGGTTGGAACTCATGGCTTCACCCTTACTAGGCAAGGACTCTACTACTTGAGCTAGCCTTCAGCCCCCCCTTTTTTTTTTTTTGCCCTTGATCTAATGTCCACATATGAGGGAGAACATACGATTTTTGGTTTTTTGAGCCAGGCTAACCTCACTCAGAATGATGTTCTCCAATTCCATCCATTTACCAGCGAATGATAGCATTTCGTTCTTCTTCATGGCTGCATAAAATTCCATTGTGTATAGATACCACATTTTCTTAATCCATTCGTCAGTGGTGGGGCATCTTGGCTGTTTCCATAACTTGGCTATTATGAATAGTGCCGCAATAAACATGGATGTGCAGGTGCCTCTGGAGTAACAGTCTTTTGGGTATATCCCCAAGAGTGGTATTGCTGGATCAAATGGTAGATCGATGTCCAGCTTTTTAAGTAGCCTCCACATTTTTTTCCAGAGTGGTTGTACTAGTCTACATTCCCACCAACAGTGTAAGAGGGTTCCTTTTTCCCCGCATCCTCGCCAACACCTGTTGTTGGTGGTGTTGGCCTTCAGCCCCTTTTGCTCTGGTTATTTTGGAGCCAGGGTCTCACTTTTTGTCCTGGCTGGCCTGGACTGTAATTTTCCTATTTTACACATCTGGGATGACAGGGCATGCTCAGTTTTTTTAATTGAGATGCGGGTGTTACAAACTGCTTTTTGCCTGGGCTGGCCTGAAATTGTGATCCTTCTGATCTCAGACTTCCACGTGGCTTGGGAAGATAGATACATACCACTCCCAGCTACTAGCTGAGATGGGGTTTCATGAACATTTTTATTTTTGCCAGGACTGGCATCAAACTGTGATCTGCCAGCTCTCAGCTTCCCAAGTTTCTAGGATTACAGGCAGGAGCCACTGGCACATGACCAATATATTTATTTAATAATAATAAACCTGACAAGAAATGCTATCCTCCTAACCCTATTAAATCTAAAGGTCTCCACATTAAATGTAATTCTTTTCTTATAGAAAACAACCCCATCTTCTCTGCCATTCTCAGTTCTTATACTGATCTTCCTTTAATTCTAATAGCACTTTATAGTTTACAGTGCATTCACATTTTACATCATGCTTAAAACAACCTTCTCATATATATTATTACCACCATGTACAGATGGAGGAACAAGCTCTGAGAGGTTAAGTGACTTAGTCAAGGTGGCACAGCTAAAGGCAGGGTCTCAAATTTGAATTATGGTCTGCTAAGTGTTCTCCTTTGTATTAGTTACCTTTTTCATCACTGTGACAAATACCTGTCAGATACAACCTAAGATAGAAAGACATCATTTTGGATGATGATTTCAGAGATTTTAGTCCACAATTGTTTTGTCCAATGTGCTTGGGTAAAACATCATGGTGGCAGGAGCCTGTGACAGAAGAACATCTTCATGGCAGGCGGAAGCAGAGAAAGAAAGGACATACAGGAAGGGGTCAGGGCAAGATACAACCCCAAAGAAATGCCACTAGTGACCTACTTCCTCCAAGTAAGCCCCATCTCCTACTTTTCACCATCTCTCAATATTGCCATCATGTTATTAGTTTATCAGGGTACTACTCTACTCACTAGGTTAGAGCCCTCATTTCTTAATTGCCTTTGGGAACACTCTGAGACACACCCAGAGGTATTTTCAATCCAATCAAGTTAACAATCAAAATTAACCATCATACCTTTGTCCTATGTTAGTTGAGGTCTAGTCAGGAGACCATAACCATACTACAACTGAATGAGAGAAAACTTATAAAGAATTATTAAGTAACAAAAGGAGGTTCAGAGGAAAAGAAACCACTAGAGAAAGGACTAGTAGATATAAGGAGCAGCCATTACCTACAAGGAACAAGGAGAGTATCTAAGGCAGGAATAATTTAAGACTTCATTGGTGATAATGTGCCCACAGCCTACCCGTTGACCAAGAACTCTGTAGAGGTGTCATACCTGGGCTGATAAGAATCTATCAGCTGTATGGTCAATAAAACTTGCTAGAAGCCACCCACTGACAGGTCAGAGAGACTCATTGAGAAGTCATATAATAAGCAATTGGGAAAGTTTACTAGAAGGTGTGTAGCACAGGTCTCTTGCACATGATTGGCTAGAAAGCCACTGTGGACCACCACATAATAGGTACAAGCAGAAAAGCACTAGAACTAAGAGGGGCCCTCTGTTTTTGTCAGGGTCACTCTATCACCTCTTACTGTCAAAACTTAGTATTGTGCTAATTTGATAAGGAAATGTTTACAGATTCCAGCCTTACTATCACAATGCAAGGCAAAGAAGAGTGGATTTGGGGCTCAAGAGCACTGAATTAACTGGCACGCATCTCCATGGTCCTCTTGGCCTCTGGAGGGTTAGCATGGTCTTACACAAAACTCCTGCTGCACTAGTTTTCTTTTTTCATAATTATCCCTAAAAAGAAACGACTTAACCTTTGGGGACACTAGGTACTGAGTGCTGGTATGAAATATAATAAGTGCATGGGGAGAGAGTTCAATGCAGTGATTGAGATGAAGTCTGGGCAAACCACTTGGGTCCCAATGGATATTAGCATCACCAATGACGAGATCTGTAGCCTTCCAAAAGTTCATCCCTTTATACCACATTTTCCTTACCTGTAAAAAAGAATGATAATAATACCCACTCTATTAAGATATCAAGAGAAAATATATATATATATATCCTATAGAAGAACAGCTGACATATAATTAGAATGTAATAAAATATTAGTATTCTCACGACTGGTAACTTGTAATTGGTGTCAAACAAATACATTTTCTATTCTCTTTACAGTTTCTCTTTAGGATGTGCCTCATAGTGCTAAGTCAACTTCTTTGAATTTGGGTTTTGTGAAGAAGCCTTTCCTATTGCTGAGCATTACCTGCAGCTCTGGTTCCAGATCCCTGGAATGCTCCTGGCTCACTGTATAATCCTCACCAGTCACAGCCAACTTACTGCAAATCTGTTTTCTAAGTGGAAAAATGGAGAAGGTTAAACAAATCATCCTTCTTTAAGCTCTCCTCCAGTTCTGACCTAATTTGATCTTCTCTCCCCCAAATAGTGAAGGAGGGAAAGAGGAAGGAAATTGCCATTTAACACCTACATATCTATGCCTGGCAAGCACTCCACAGGCTTCAATTCTCATCAAGCCCTCTCCAATTAGTATTTTTTAACCCTGTTTAAGAACGAAGGAAACCAAGTCTCAGAAAGGTCAAACATTTACTCCATATCAAACTCCTGGTAAGCAGCAGAGCCTGGATTGAAAGCCTCTCTTTCTGTTTGGGTCCTCTAGGCATTTTTGACTGTGCTGCTTGCCTCCCACTCTCCATCTCAGACAGCAAGAATCCTAATTGCTCACTGCTTTTCGTGCTCTGACTTAAAGAGATGAGTGGGTGAGCAACTTCTTCTTCTTTTTTTTTTTTTTGTCTGAAACGTATCATTTGAAAGATAAGCAAATGAAATTCATTTACCAGTTACAGGAACTTTAAAAAAAATAACTCTTAATGAATGTCTCAAGGAAATCGACTTTTGAGTGAAAATCAGCAACCCTACACAGCATCCTTGAATCCTTTCCTCACCTTCCTGCATACAAATCTGAAGGGAGAGGAGCTAGGTGGGTGCCAGTTGGATAGGGGTCAGGGAGCTGAACTCCTGCCCCAAGAAAGCGCCTTTTCTTTCTGCTTAGCAGAGGGTCATTGGGCGAAATCAACTAAGGTTTCTTCCCACATAAAAGCCTGACTCCAGGGCTTTCCTGGACCAGGGCATGCCCCTCCTTTCCCTCTGCTGCAGGTCCCAGGTTAAACAGGGTATCTGTCCAGGACGCTCACTGACTGTTTCCTCCACCACCATCATCCCTGTCCCACATTTCTCCTACTGAAGAAAAGTGAAGTCCCTTACCCTAGCTCCCTAGAATCACTGTTCACTAGACGACCCCCAGCCTCCAGCTAAATTCCTGTACCCTCTTGGCTCAAGGATCGGGTCTGCCCAGGCCTGTGCTTGTGTTGCCGCTTCACTTTCTTCCAGAAATCAGGACAACCAAACTCGTTTTCTAACATTCTCTTCTTGGAGGGGGACTTCTGAGAACTTTGGGATAAATGACTGTAAAAGTGAAGCGATGAATCCTCTCTCAACAGTGGAACTCCTCCCTCCGCAAGTCTCCCGGCTCTCAGGCCTTCTGCAATCCCACGCCGGGTCCCCGCACCCCAGCTTTCTCACGGCAAGATCTCAGAGATGTGGCGCCAAGAGCTCGACTCGCCAGCTGTCCGGGTCCCTCTATTTGTTCCATGGAACTCGGGTGGGAGGAAGTCCGGGCGTCCTCGTCTCTCCGCAGCCTAGCGCAAGACCACACGGAGGCTGGAGAAAGGTCCGCACTGGTCTCGCGGCCCTTCCTGCCGGCCTCCTCTCTCCGGCCTCATCTCCAGACTCCCCTCCCTCGCGGCTCCCGCCTCCTCCCGTAGGCTGCCGGGCGAACCCAGCCAGCCTCTCTCTCTTTCTCTCTCTCTCTCTCTCTCTCTCTCTCTCTCTCTCTCTCTCTCTCTCTCTCTCTCTCCCCCCCCCCCCTCTCTCTCACTCTCTCTTTGCCTTCACTACCGGGTCAAGCTGCAGAGGGAGGGAGACAGCGGCGAAGCCCTCCCTGCCTCTCCGCCCGGTGCGCGCGCCCTTCCTCCCGCTCCTGCTTCTTCCCTCCTCCCGCCGCCTCCCTTTCTGCCAGTACAGTACAACTAGTACACACACAGACACACAGACACACACACGCACACGCACGCACACTCCCTGCCGCTGCCACTGCAGCTGCCATGGATATCAGCTAACAACACAGGCGGGTGCGCGCGCTCCCACTCGCCCCACGCAGGAGTGGCCCCGGCATCCCTGCCCCCCTCCCGTCCCCACCCCCACCCAGCCGCTCACTAGCTCGGCTACTGCTCGCGCCGGCTCTGCTGCCACCGCCGCTGCCACAGCTTCCTCTGCTGCGGGGCCACAGCCTTGAGTGTCATTCAAGGGACAGCACAACCTCACCCAAGCTCTCCTACCTCTGCCCAGCCGTCCCTCTCGTCCTCCCCCCTTCCTCGTCCACACTCCATCAAAAGAAGAGGGAAAGCACCGAACCGAAGGGGAGGAAGGCAAAGTCTGCTGTCCTCACCCCTTGGCCCCCTGGCTCCTCCATCCTCATTCTCTCACTACCAGCCCCCTCCCCAAAGGAACCTCAGGAACTGAGACGACTCACCCTACTACCATGTCCAAAAGCTTAAAAAAGAAAAGCCACTGGACTAGCAAAGTCCATGAGAGTGTCATTGGCAGGAACCCGGAGGGCCAGCTGGGCTTTGAACTGAAGGGGGGCGCCGAGAATGGACAGTTCCCCTACCTGGGGGAGGTGAAGCCTGGCAAGGTGGCCTATGAGAGCGGCAGCAAGTTGGTGTCCGAGGAGCTGCTGCTGGAGGTGAACGAGACCCCTGTGGCGGGGCTCACCATCAGGGACGTGCTGGCCGTGATCAAACACTGCAAGGACCCCCTTCGGCTTAAGTGTGTCAAGCAAGGTGAGCGCAGTGGTTGACTCTGGGCTTGGTCTTGCGGTGGGACCTTTCGGGGCAGAGGGCAAAGGCAGGGTGGGCGCGCATGTGGAAGGGGGTGTGTTGCGCGACCGTGGGGTGGGGTCGAGAGAGGATCGCCGGGGCAAGTGAGCTTTGCTGAGGATCCCACTGAGGGGCTGAGAGAAGGGGAGGGGCGGGCTTCTGGGTGGCGAGCAACTTTGTTTGCGTAGTTAGACCCTCCCCTTTGGAAGGTGTTCGGCCTTGTCTGACCTCCCCAAGGCTCCAGGGGCAAATTGAATGTGCGTCAGTGGCATCGCCCGCAGTGAATGAAGAGCTCTGAGGGAAAGGAGGAAGGAAAGAAGGAGGAAGGGAAGAAGGAGAAGAAAGGAGGGAAAGAAGAGCAGCTTGAGGGTGCTCCAGCATCATCAGCGGGGCTGGGAGGAGCACAGGGTGGTGAGACAAGGGGAGAAAACTGAGTCTGACGTTTTGTGAACTGGGCTGGAGATGCCTCAGTACCCAGCGGTCCCCTAAGGATTCCCGAGCCACTGGCTGGCCAGGAAGGGAGGAGACAAATTGCTTTGAGCGCTTTGACCGGTCTTCGGTAACTTTTTCCCTGCTTCACTCCTTGGTCCCTCTCCCCCCGCCAGGGTGGTGTCATGTGGGCACCGCGCGTCACGTGCGGACTGACTAACCCTGGTGCTCACCCCAAGCCAGCAGGCGGGAGGAGGCTCCGGAAGAAGGCTCCCTTCGCGCAGCGAGCGCTTCTGGGGTTGGGGGATCTCGAGCAGAGGAATGGTTCCTGGAATTTTCTTTCCTCCTCATTGAGTGGGAGTCCTCTGTAGTTGGGCTGTCCTCTGGTTCCGGACTTGGGGGGGGGGTGCATGTTTGTGGGAAGGAGTCGCATGGAAAGGCCAGCTGGTTATAGTTCAGGCTTCTGCAGCTGTACCCTGATTTTGATGAGTCTGAGTGGAAGGCTGTGACGAGGACTTAATAGGGAGACTGGAATTTTGCAGAACTCTCCTACTAGGTCTTTGCTTGAATGAAAATTTGGTCCTGATGAACGAAAGAATGAGATGAAAGTTGGAATGCAGGACAATTTTACCAGAAGAATGTTTCTTTGTTTTCCACACACATACCTTTTGGCATTGCTTTTTCTAGCTCCATGCCTGTTTCATGTGTGGACCATATGTGTGAGTGCTGCACAGGTATCACTCTAAGGTTTGTTGTCAATTACATTGTTAGTCCTGCCTCACAGATGGAATTGGAGCCTATCATTGCATTTTGAAACACCACTTAATCCTATTGCATGATCAGCTATCAAGAAACACTCTTAGGCAGATTTTCTTCAGCATAAAATTATTCTCTAAAAACTTGTTTAAAAGTAAACAAGAAAAAAAAAGAAGTCTCAAAGTTCTCTAAAAGTAAGTTGTCATACAGGAAAGCATTTTCTTTGAGATTTCCTGAGTATGAGTGGCATATGATTTTAGATATAATGCAGATATATATTTGTAAGTTAATGTAGCACAATATTTGTATGACACTGAAGAATATGAGTTAGGTAATAGAGTATCTTGGAGTTTTTCAATATGACATACCAACAATTTAATACAAGAATTTGCATGAAACTATGTCATGTCATAATACTGCATAATGGGAATAAATATAAATTTAAGATCTGGTTTAGGGTCCAATGGATCTACGTAACTAATAAGCATGTGTTTGTCGGCAGGAAACTGAGCATTTGTCATGGAAGGTAACTGTGAAAGTCAACACATTACTAAGTAGGACAGTGTCCTACTAAGGAAGTGATTGTCCTATCATAACTTGCCATGAGCACCACATATTAAATGCTGTGTTCTGTTATGAGCACTAAGTGGTTAGATGAAATTTGGGAAATACTAGCAAGCAATACTGCTTCCAGAAGAGAAACCAAGGAAGATTATTAGGTATTGTAGCTTTACTCTATGAAATCCAGTGGAAAGATTTTGGAAAAGTGAGAGCATAAAAGTTGTAAATATTGAAAAGCTATCAAGTAAGAAAAGAAATTCTGACTATCTTGTAATAGTCCATAAGCTAAAACTAAGATGAATTTGAGAAATCTTTATCTACATTAAAATGTGAGCTTTCTTTGAACAATATGTGAGCAATATTGTAAGTTCAACTCCCATGATTGTTGATGTTCATGAAGAAGCTAAATCGGCCATTCATCACAGATTTTTCTACAGATGGAACCGGAACGACAATCATTTATATCCTGCCATGAGTTGATGAAAGGTATTCTCTGATCACTCAACTTTTGTATTATATTTTGTTCAGAAGATTGTTGCTTTTAAAACTGAGGAAAAATGTTCATATAGAATTACACCTTATACTAGGCCTCACTTCCAGACTTCACTGGTTCATTCTTTGTAATGGTGTTCATACAGTCCCCATAGGGACCTGATTCACCTACTGAATTACTACTGACCACAAAAAAAAAGGAGAGGAGAAAGAAAATAATCGCTTCTTTTACCTTTTGGGGAAAGTGCAATCCTTTTGTACATTCTTTTAAATATAGTGATTCATATATGCTATTCTTGTGTTGAAATTATTCTTTACTTTGTCAACTAATGGATAGATTTATTTAATTATAATTACAAACAAAGTAAAAATTTTAGAACCTTAAATTCAGTACTTGTGTTGCTTGGGTTTCAGTATGAATTTCTCTTACTGGAAAATCATTTAGAAACTCTTGGCTCAGTAGTTGTATTTTGGAGAGCCAAAAAACTAGCATAGCTGGAAAGCTTAAACGTGGTTTGCTTAGTAGTTGTATTTTTAAACTATTAATGAGATTGATTTTTGAATATTCATTCAGACATGGAGTATTATGCAGAAACTACTTGCATAATTATAGCTAAACTAAGGCAGATTTTGTAAAAAAAAAAAGGAGATTTGAAACAAGAATACTGATATAGTATATATCAAATAAAATTATTTACTCAATTTTTATTTATTTGATTAATTTTATATCATAGTTATAACAATTTTAAATTATCTTAATTTTTGTTATAACAATTTTAAATTATCTTAATTTTAAAAGAAGCTGAGCAACTGGAATTTTTAAATCTTACTAAACAAGATTTATTTATAGTTTTTCTATACTGTTTAAATGCTTTCAAACTCATTTTTTGAAACTTTCACTAAATTCAGGGATTTCCCTTTTTAATTTAAGCCATCTGATTTTAATCCACACAATAATGAACCAAATATTTAAAATATCACTTATTGTCACATACAATTATTGTTGTAAACTATAGCTTTTTAATTTGTAATGAACTTTCCTTACCAATGTATGTAATTCTAAATTAGCAGTTCTGTTTTTATTATCTCATTAGTACATTAGACCCAATTGAAGATGGTTTCTTGGGTGGATTTTGGGGCCTGTGTTAAAGTGCTGAAGGTCTTTGTCTTTTTCTTTTAACTCTGCCACTAAAGTTCACAGCAGCTGGTTACATAGACCGTTGTGCCCTACACTCCTTGCACTAGGGCTCCTAATGCATTTCTTACCTCACAGGGACCTACATAGCTTTGATTTATTTTCCAACTTAATATCCCACAATGGAAAATAAAAGGCAAAAAAGTTTTCTAA